ATATATCCTGAGGATTTCTGGGTGTCAGACTGGGATAGCAAGTCTTCTCCATGAAGAATCTGTAGCTGAAGCACCCAGTATTCAGTCAGCACAGCTAGGAAGAAGGAAGTGAGAGGAATACCCAACAGAGGCTCAAGTTCCCATAAGAATTTAGGAGGAAAAAGAAGAAGGAGGGTCTCAAAGGTAAAGAAAAGCAGGTAGGAGAGAGCCTGGGTCTTTCTCTGGCACCCAGGGTCTGGCCTGGGGCACAGGAGGAGCTGAGAACCTGTTTGAGATCAAGAGATTGGAAAATGGGGAGAGCTAGGCTGTTGTGGGGACTTAGGTGGTGGCAATGCCTTCTGCAGACCATTTCCCTGAGATATGCTTTCCTCCTTGCCTTGCCTCTGCTCTGAGAAACTTCTAGCTGCAGCTAACTCTGAGTAGCTGATGCTGGAGCAGAGAGGAGCAGCTGTTCATAATCATGGAACAGTCCTTCATACTCACCAGAGCTCACCATTGACCAAGTCCCTTCCCTGACGTTGCTACTCCATCCTCCAATGAAGCCCAAGAAGGAGGCAGCTAGGGGTTCCCATCCCCATTGTGCAAGAGGGCAAGATGAGGCTCAGAGAAAAGTGAGACTTCTTCAGGGTCAGAGGCAACCAGACAGTCCTGCCAGGACCCAAGTCCCTGTCCATTAGACTACCAGGCTGCAGTTAGTTCTTTCCATTTTCTCATTTGCCTTTTATAAATGCTGAAAACTGTTCTGAATACAAAGAAACTTGTGCCCATCATATTAATAGAAATTTTTGGCAACACTAAAGAGGGAAAAAGAAGATTCTCCCTCCCCCATCGATTTTGGCATCATGTCCTACCAGTCACTTTTATATCCACACATATTGTTTATCTAATTGACACCTTACAAATGTATACAATTTTATGTTCTCTTTTTTCATTTAATATTATAATGTAATAATGTTATCGTGTAAAAATTTATACACCTAACTTGAATGTCTGCGTAATATCCCATTATAGGGAACACTGTAATTACTTAGGCACTTATTGCTGGACTGTTATTGTGTTTCCTAATTTCACTCATATATATTGCTGGGATGAAGACCTTTACTGAGAGGTATTGGCCCTCTTCGATCACTGTTTCCTTAGAATTGTCTCCTAGAGGTGGGATTGTTGAGGTGATGGGTATGCAGGCTTTATAAATTTTTCCTTTTTCTAGGCAAATCGCTCTCCAGAAAGGCCATATGAGAGTATATGAGACTCTTTTACTCTACCACGTTGCCTTCCATTTCTCAGCTGCCACTGTGCAGAGACAGGTGGAACAAGCCGAGGCTCCACACCTGCAGGATGCAGCTGCACAGGTAAAAGCTGCTCTTTCTCTCTTGGCTCCCTGGTCATCCTCCTACCTCCCCTCCCTCCATCCTCTCATTGGGCTGCAGGTATCTAGAGCTCTTTGTTTTCTACTGTCCTGAGCCCCCTCCAAAGCCTGACACAGCCCTATTTCCTGCTCACATTCCTTAAGGGGAAATCAAGAATTCACATCTCCCCTTAATGCACACACACACACAGGCACACAGGCACACAGGCACACAGACATACACACTACACCAAAAGGAGTGGGCAGCTGCATTCACCAAGGACGGCTCCCTGCCGAAGGAGAATGGCACAGGGCAGTCCAAAACAACTGTAAGAGTTGGGATTGTATGGTACACATGGGGAAACGGAGGTCTAGGGAGGAGAAGTGACTTGCTCAGGCCACACACTTTATCCAGGTCATGCGCAGGGGTAGGTTCCAGGGCTCTGGTCTCCAGTGCAGGGTCTTCCCAGCTGCTCTGTTCGATTCAATTGAACAAACTTTTATTCAGCAACTTTTAGGTGCCAGGTACTAAGACTCCCACAGATGCAGGTCTCATGTAGGCGAGATCCTGTGCACCACTCATGCCCACACCACGTTATTCACATAGGAGATTTGGGTGGATTTATCTGATGGGAGTGGACAGATGTGGCTCCTCTAACAGAAGCCGTGGCATCTCCTTGTCACTATTAAGTCTTATTTGTGCAGCTGACTGGAATCTTTACTTTGTCATTTTCTGGAGGGGGTAGGGCAGCCACTGGGAGGAATGCAGGATAAGTCGGAGGCAGAAGGTCACAGTGGGGCACCAGAGTGGGCCTGAATTGAGCAAACAGGGACACTCGTAAGTGCTCTATTGAGGGGTAAGGGAAGGGCAATGCAATTACACAGGAAATACAATTAAGTCAATGGTTGAATAATGGGTGAGGCTTTTCCTGGGTTAGATCACTGTTTTTTTTTTTTTTAAGTGTGTTTTTCTTTTTAATTTTATTGTTGTACTTTAAGTGAAAGTTTACAATTCAAGTTAGTCTCTCATACAAAAATTTCTACATACATTGTTATGTGACCCTAATTGCTCTCCCTATACTGAGACAGCACACTCCTGCTTTCCACCCCTGATTGCCCGTGTCCATTCAATCATCTCCTAACCCTCTCTGCCTGCCCATCTCACCTCCAGACAGAAGCTGCCTGTTTAGTCCCTTGTATCTACTTGAGCTAAGAAGTACACTCTTGGTGAGTATGAATTTATGTCCCATAACCCAGTCTAAACTTTGTCTGAAAAGGTGGCCTCAGGAATGGTTTCCATGCTGGGTTGACAGAGAGTCTGGGAGCCATGCTTTCCGAGGTTTCTCCAGTCTCAGTCAGACCATTAAGTCTGGTATCTTTACTAGAATTTGAGTTCTGCACCCTACTTTTTCTTGCTCCATCCGGGACTCTCTGTTGTGTTCCCTGTCAGGGTGGTTATTGGTGGTAGCCCGGCACCACGTAGTTCTTCTGGTCTCAGGCTGATGAAGTCTCTGGTTTATGTGGCCCTTTCTGTCTCTTGGGCTAATACTTTCCTTGTGATTTTGGTGTTCTTCATTCTCCTTTACTCCAGGTGGTTGGGACCAGTTGATGCATCTTAGATGGTCACTCGCCAGCTTTTAAGACCCCAGACACCACTCACCAAAGTAGGATGCAGAACATTTTGTTAATAAACTTTGTTATGCCAATTGACCTAGAAGTTCCCTGAAAGCATGATCCCCACCCCTCCGTCCCTGCTACTCTGTCCCTTGAAGTATTTAGCTGTATTCAGGAAACTTCTTAGCTTTGGTTTAGTCCAGTTGTGCTGACTCCCCCTGTCGTGCGTGCTGTCTTTCCCTTCACCTAAGATAATTCTTGTCTACTATCTAGTTAGTGAATAACCCTGTCCTTCCCTCCCCACCCTCATAACCATCAAAGAATGGTTTTTTCTGTGTTTAAACGTTTTCTTGAGTTCTTATAATAGTGGTCTTGTACAATATTTGTCCTTTTGTGACTGACTAAATTCACTCAGCATAATGACCTCCAGCTTCCTCCATGTTATAAAATGTTTCACGGCTTCACCATTGTTCTTTATCGTCGCGTAGTATTCCATTGTGTGAATATACCATAATTTGTTTATCCGTTCGTCCACTGATGGGCATCTAGGTTGTTTCCATCTTTTTGCTATCATGAACAGTGCTGCAATGAACATGAGTGTACATATATCTATTTGTGTTATGGCTCTTGTTTCTCTAGGATATAGTCCAAGGAGCGGGATAGCTGGATAGTATGGTACTTCTATTTCTGGCTTTTTAAGGACGCGTCAAATCGATTTCCAAAGTGACTGTACCATTTTACATTCCCATCAACACTGTATAAGTGTTCCAGTCTTTCCACAACCTTTCCAGCATTCATTATTTTGTGTTTTTTGGATTAATGCTAGCCTTGTTGGGGTGAGATGGTATCTCATTGTGGTTTTGACTTGCATTTCTCTGATGGCTAATGAAGAACAGTGTTCTTTACTGGGCCAAGTTTTGTCCTCCCTACCCCCAGGGGACATTTGCAAATGTCTGGAGATATTTTTGGTTATTACAGCTCAGAATGGGGAGGGGAGATGCTGCTGGCCCCTAGTGGTTGAGGCCAAGGACCCTGCTAAACATCCTACAGTATACAAGACAGCCTCCAAAAACAAAGAATTATTGCCCAAAATGTCAATAGAGTCAGGTTAGAACACCCTGGGTTAGATTCAGGGTGGGAGCTGCCCTGCCTGACTACACATCTGGAATGAACCCTCGCACTATGACTGCAGAGAACGTGCTGAGTAGACAATGACTGTGACCAATCAGAAAATGCACCCAGCTGCTACTGGAGAGACAGTATTTTTTAAAATCTGTGAACCAAGGGAGGGAGCTATTTGGTGGAAAGAACTCAGAATTGGGGTCTGGGATCCAACTCCAGCACTGTCATTCAACCCCATACAGCAAATTCTTTAGCTCCCCTGAGTTTTGGTTACTTCATCTATAAAACTAGAATGACAGTGTCTTCTCCATGGAGTGTTTTAAAGAATAAGGTACAGAGTAGATGCTCATTAATATTAACCACTCATCTTCCATCACTCATTCATTCCCACCCCCACCCAATTGTAATTAAGAAGGAGGTATAGAAATATTTGAAGTCCCCGGGTGGTATAAATGGGCTTTCAAATATTTAATGCACTTGACTGGTAACGGAAAGATTGGAGGTTTGAGTCCACCCAGAGGTGCCTCAGAAGAAAGCCTTGGCAGTATACTTCCAAAAAATCAGCCGTTGAAAACACTGTGGAGCACAGTTCTACCCTAACACACATTTGCCTTTCAAGTACGATTGTCTTTTACAAGGAGGGCATGCACCAGCATCAGAAAATTCCCTAGCACATACCTGAACATGTGAGGCCCTCACCCAGTGCTGATTTGTTGTAAGTTCTTTTCCAGCTCTGATCTTCTTTCAACCGAGAATTAAGAAACACTTTCTTTCATCTCTTTCAGTCACTTTCTCTACGCACGTATGTTCTCCTATTATGCAACAGGGAACTGATCACATACTGGATGCCTAGGACTCTTCTCAAGAAAGCCTGATGTGCTGCTTTGAACACTGCTGATGACAGATGGGATACAAAATGGAAAAAGCCAATTGGACCTCCCCAGTCATGCAGTTCGTTCTCCTGGGACTCTCTGACCACCCAAAGCTGGAGAAAATTTTCTTTGTGCTGATCCTGCTGATGTACCTGGTGATCCTACTAGGCAATGGGGTCCTCATCCTGATGACCATCCTTGACTCCCACCTGCACCCGCCCATGTACTTCTTCCTGAGGAACCGCTCCTTCTTGGATATCTGCTACACAACCTCCTCTGTTCCTCTGGTCCTGGACAGCTTCCTGACACCCTGGGAAACCATCTCCTTCTCAGCCTGTGCAGTGCAGATGGCTCTTTCCTTTGCCATGGCAGGAACAGAGTGCCTGCTTCTGAGCGTGATGGCGTTTGACCGCTACATGGCCATCTGTAACCCCCTTAGGTACCCTGTGATCATGAGCAAGGCTATCTATGTGTATCTGGCTGCCAGCTTCTGGGCTATTGGTGGTGCTGCCTCTGTGGTACATACATCCTTGACAACTCGGCTGCCCTTCTGTGGGGACAATGTCATAAACTACTTCACTTGTGAGATTTTGGCTGTCCTAAAGTTAGCCTGTGCTGACATTTCCATCAATGTGATCAGCATGGGAGTAACAAATGTGATCTTCCTGGTGGTCCCAGTTCTGTTCTTCTCTGTCTCCTATGTGTTCATCATTGTAACCATCTTGAGGATACCCTCTGCAGAGGGGAAGAAAAAGGCCTTCTCTACCTGCTCTGCCCACCTCACTGTGGTGATCATCTTCTATGGGACCTTATTTTTTATGTATAGAAAGCCCAAGTGTAAGGACCCAGTGAGGGCAGATAAACAGGACCTTTCAGACAAGCTCATCTCCCTCTTTTATGGGGTGGTGACCCCCATGCTCAACCCCATCATCTATAGTCTAAGGAACAAGGACGTGGAAGGCTGCTGCAAAGAACCTGGTGGCTTGGAAGGACTTCAGCCAGTGATGATAGGAAGGGGCCCATGTGGTTCTCATCCAAGTGTAAGAAAGAACTTCCAATCATTACAGCTGCCATTCAGAAACCAAGTCAAGCTAACTAGAATTGTCTCTCACCCTAAAGTGCATTTGCAGGAATGTTTATGTAATTATTCAGAGTATATCTCCTGAGTTTTGGTCATATGCCTGATGGCATCAGAGGATAACAGACTTAATAACCACTCACGTTAAATATAATGAAGACACTCTGAACACATGCTGAAACTGTCCGATGCAGCAAACATTAGAGGAAATGAAATGGCCCTTATTGTGTGTAAGCTGTAGAGTTAGTACAGGGAAGTAAGATGGTTTTCACAGCAAATTTGCCACCCCTGTTGGATTCACCAGGAGGGTCAGAGGAACAAGGAGGAAGTGGAAACTTTCAGTTTGGGCTTTTATTTATTAGATTCAGTTTGCCTGAAGTGCTAAGAAGAGACAAATTCAAGTTCATCATGGAAGCATTTGGGTGGAAATAATCTATTTTTAATAAACTGAATATCTTTTTAGCTAAGAGGAAATTGAGGCTATTTTTTCTTGATGCACTGAAAATTATGCAATATTGCTGATAAATTAATTAAACTCAAGAAGGACTGTGGAGTTTGAATTTCACATTCATAACTTATAGCATTTCCCAACAGAAAACTGGTGTTCTGTGAGATACTAATTTATGTTCTTAAAAATTTATATTTACATATATTTATATGTGTTTGTGTGTGTGAGAGAGTGTGTATGTAGTGACTAAATATGTTTGAAAACCTCTGGGATACTTTTTACAGGTTTCTTTGCTCCATTAATTCTAGGAGCCTTTAATATGCTAAAATCACTGTGAATGTCCAAGGGGTATGTCTTGGTTACCTAGTGCTGCTGTAACGGAAATACCTCAGGTGGATGGCTTTAACGAGAAATTTATTTTCTCACAGTCTGGTAGGCTACAAGTCCAAATTCAGGGCATCACCTCCAGGGGAAGGCTTTCTCCCTCTGTCAGCTCTGGAGGAAGGTCCTTGTCATCAATCTTCCCCTGGTCGAGGAGCTTCTCAGGTGCAGGGACCCGGGGTCCAAAGGACGCGCTCTGCTCCCAGTGCCGCTTTCTTGGTGGTTTGAGGTCCCTCACTCTTTTGCTCACCTCTGTTTCTTTTCATCTCTTGTAAGATAAAAGGTGGTGCAGACCACATCCCAGGGAAACTCCCTTTACAATGGATCAGGGATGTGACCTGAGCAAGGATATTACATCCCACCCTAATCCTCTTCAGCAGACTCCAATCTTGCCTCATTAACCACAGGCAGAGATTAGAATTTACAACATATAGGAAAATTACATCAATCACAAAATGGAGGACAACCATACAATACTGGGAATCATGGCCTAACCAAGTTGACACATATTTCTGGGGGACACAATTGAATCCATGGCAGAGTATAAAGAAGTCTGTAGTGTTTCTTGAGCCTGCATAGTTCAACACAATAAAGATTGGGGAGCATTTTCTTCCTTATGATTTTTGGACAGGTTGTTTAACCCATCTCAGCCTATTTCTTCATAGTATTAATACTAATCAAGTGATTTTATGTGGATTAGATGAGATACTATGAATAAGAGCTTAGTAAATGGTAAGCAAAATTGATATGTAAGATGTTATTATTAGCATTATTATGAATTCTGTACAGTGCTATGTGCCGAGTAATAAGGAACAAAACATAGTTCTTGTCTAGAACAATAGACACAGCAAACAGATGAGAGGTTCAGAGACGGCTTTGGATGAACAGAAGCAGTTTTATGGCAAAACAACAAAGAAGCCTGTTGCTGTGGAGTTGATTCTGACTGATACAGCGTCCCTATAGGACGTGGTAGAACTGCCTTGTAGAGTTTCCAAGGAGCGGCTGGGGATTCAAACTGCTAAGCTTTTGGTTAGCAGCTAAGCTCTTAACCACTGCCCCACCAGGGCTTTCATGGCAAATTATATTAAATTCGAAGACTATAAGGAGACTTACTTAAAGAGAGAATTTAGAAAGTTAATCTTATTTTAAGAATAGGTCCTTGAGAATTTTGCTTCAAGTGACATTTATGTTTTTATACTTACGAAGAATGAATTTCTTAAGATAAGAATGTATATTTTGTTAATAAAATTTCACTTTCTTAGGCTAATTGGTCGTGTTCCTGATTTCTACTCTGCACCATCAGGGAAATAATTATGCTGTTGCAAACACACAAGTGTGTCACCTACTGGTCATTCAGGCAAACTTCAGGCACTTGCTGAGCCGTGCAACCTCGTTGTTAGAAGAGCCTTCGGAGGTCTTCTTGTTCACCCTATCCACGTGATGCACAGAATTCCTCTCCAAGATCCCTGACCCCAGGCATCCGGGATCTGCTTGAACTCCTCCAGTAATGGAGATTCAATACTTCCTGATTCTAGCTGTTCGTTCAGCTCTACTAGGAAATTTTCCCTGAATTGTGCTCTCCAATAGCTTCCATCTTTCAGTCGTAGGTCCACGTCTTTGTTCCCGTACATGAAATGCACCTATTCTCTTTCCTTCTGATATATGAAGATAGTTCTCCTGGACGTTTACTCTATACCCTTTGAGTCTAAACAGCCCCATTCCTCCCACCTATGCCAAAATCAACAAACATTACCAACTGGCAGGTACTAAACTGTGCCTGTTGTTGTTAGGTGCTGTCGAGTCAGTTCCCACTCATAGCAACCCTGTGTACAACAGAGCAAAACACTGCCCCGTCCTGCACCATCCTCACAATTGTGGCCATGCTTGAGTCCATTGTTGCAGCCACTGTGCCAATCCATCTTGTTGAGGGTCTTCCTCTTTTTCCCCGACCCTCTACTATACCAAGAATGATCTCCTTCCCAGGGATTGATCCCTCCTGATAATATGTCCAAAGTATGTGAGACACAGTCTTGCCATCCTTGCTTCTAAGGAGGATTCTGGTTGTATTTCTTCCAAGACAGATTTGTTCGTTCTTTTGGCAGTCCACGGTATATTCAATGCTCTTCACCAACACCATAATTCAAAGGCGTCAGTTCTTCAGTTTTCATTATATATTGTCCATCTTTCAAATGCATATGAGGCAATTGAAAACACCATGGCTTTGGTCAGGCACATCTTAGTCTTTGTCTTAGTCATTTAGTGCTGTTCTAACAGAAGTACCACAAGTGGGTGGTTTTAACAAAGAGAAGTTTATTCTCTCATAGTCCAGTAGGCTACAAGTCCAAATTCAGGGCATCAGCTCCAGGGGAATGCTTTCTCCGTCAGCTCTGGAGGAAGGTCCATGTCATCAGTTTTCCCTCAGTCTGGGAGCTTCTCTGCACAGGAAACTCAGGTCCAAAGGACACGCTCTGCTTCCAGCACTGCTTTCTTGGTGGTATGAGGTTCCCCTGTGTCTCTGCTTGCTTCTCTCTTTTATATCTCAAAAGCGATTAAATTAAGACACTATCTAATCTTGTAGACATCATCAGTATAACCTCATCATAGTGATAGAGTTTACAACACATAAGGAGATCACATATAACCTCATCATAATGATAGAGTTTACAACACATGAGGAAATCACATCAGATTACACAATCATACAATATAGGGAATCATGACCCAATCAAGCCGACAGCCATTTTTGGGGGACACAATTCAATCCATGACAGTCTTCGAGGTGACATCTTTGCTTTTTAACACTTTAAAAAGGTCTTTTGCAGCAGATATGCCCAATGCAATGCATCATTTGATTTCTCGACTACTGCTTCCACGGGTGTTGATTGTGGATCCAATTAAAATGAAATCCTTGACAACTTCAATCTTTTCTCCATTTATCATGATGTTGCTTACTGGTCCACTTGTGAGGATTTTTGTTTTCTTTATGTTGAGGTGTAATCCATACTGAAGGCTGTGTGGCCTTTGATCTTCATCAGTAAGTGCTTCAAGTCCTCTTCACTTTAAGCAAGAAAGGTTGTGCCATCTACGTAACTCAGGTTGTTAGTGAGTCTTCGTCCAATCTTGTTGCCCCATTCTTCATATAGCAAAGCTTCTCAGATTATTTGCTCTGCATACTGTTTGAATAAGTATAGTCAAAGGATACAACCCTGAAGCATAGCTTTCCTGACTTTAAACCACGCAGTATCCACTTTTTCTGTTCGAACAACTGCTTCTTGATCTATGTACAGGTTCCTCATGAGCACAATTAATTGTTCTGGGATTCCCATTCTTCGTAATGTTATCCATAACTTGTTATGATCTGCACAGTTGAATGCCTTTGCATAGTCAATAAAACACAGATGAACATCTTTTTGGTGTTCTCTATTTTCAGTCAGGATCCATGTGACGTCAGCAATGATATCACTGGTTCCACATCCTCTTCTGAATCCAGCTGGAATTTCTGGCAGTTCCCTGTCGATGTACTGCTGCAGCCACTTTTGAATGATCTTCAGCAAAATTTTACTTGCGTGTGATATTAATGATATTGTTTGATAATTTCTGCATTCAGGTCGATCACCTTTCTTTGGCATAAATGGGCGTAAGTATGGATCTCTTCCAGTTGGTTGGTCAGGTAACTGTCTTCCAGATTTCTTGGTATAGACGAGTGAGCGCTTCCAGTACTGCATCTGTTTGTTGAAACATCTCAATTGGTATTCTGTCGATTCCTGGAGCTTTGTTTTTCGCGAATGCCTTCAGTGCAGCTTGGACGTCTTCCTTCAATACCATCTGTTCCTGATCATATGCTACCTCCTGAAATTGTTGAATGACCACCAATTCTTTTTGGTACAGTGACTCTGCATATTCCTTCCATCTTCTTTTGACGCTTCCTGAATAGTTCAGTATTTTGCTCATAGAATTCTTCACTATTGCAACTCAAGGCTTGAATTTTTTCTTCAGTTCTTTCAGCTTGAGATATGCTGAGCTTGTTCTTCCATTTTGGTTTTCTAACCCAGGTCTTTGCATATGTCATTATAAAACTTTACTTTGTCTTCCCAAGCC